TAAATGCACATTACAGCAAACAGCAGTTTTCTCCACTGGACTTCACAGGTCACAGTCAACTCTACCCACTGTAACCAGCACTACAGCTCCGTGCACACAGGCATTAACTCGTGACAGAGAGCCTGTGATAAATGTTAAAGAGGAACTAGCAGTGAACAGCCGGTCCCATGACAGCACAGCCTTGTGTGAATTACTAACCAGCAACAAAGCGGAAGCAGATAAATGTATTTCTTTATATTTTACATGACCACGAATAATCTGTAAACCCCAACAACACACATCCTTATCCTCAATGCTTTGCTAATGCGTTAGCAACGGGCTATCAATATGATATGTATTTAAACCCCCTTGTTGAAAGCTCGATCGTATTAGATACTCCAATTCTACGCGTATAACAATATGATTTCACACATTCCTATTAATTAACATCACAGTATTACACCTAGCTTTAGGTTGTATTAGAAAGCTAAAAGGCGATGCTAACGAAGCTAGGTTGCCATTTGCAAAAACGGTGGAGACATGACGCTATTATGTTATATTTAAGAAGAAAAAACACATCCTAAAAGACGGGAATCGTGAATGTCTTTCTTCACACATTACTTACCGCTTGTGATAAAGAAACAGAGGGCAAACGCCACGGATAAAACAGCCTCCATCCTTCGGCAGTTTGTCAGCGACATCTTTCTCCTTGGTGCAGCAGAGATCAGCTGACCCGACGTCACGGAACCGCAAAGGATGATGGGAAAATATCTGTCACTGAAAGATATGAGGAACCATTTCTCTACAGGAAAATAAATGTTTGCGGAGCTCTCTATTTTAAGTTGTTATCGTTTCCTCAGTAGAATAGGTGTCCTTTTTTAGTATTAAATTGAAAATAACATGGCTTCTCACATAAACATGTGTAATCCCCAACGAATTGAAAGAAAAATCACTTCACACATCTCCTAACACTTCCACTGGTGGTTTTACTACCTTAATAACATCTGGTTAATTAAGGTCTAAAAGCTTTTGCATCAAGGATTTATTTTGTATTGCATTTGCTTAATTTTCGTGATTATTCTTTAAGCAACCCTTTAGGACACAACATCTAGCAAAACATGAAAACTCACACAGATAATAAAGGAAATGAAAACATAAAAGTCCTGTTTGTGGACTGTTTTTGTGTATGTTTCTTTCTTAAAGCAGTAATCAAAATCTTTGTCCCCATTTAAAAAAAAAATGTAATTGTTATTTTAATTGGTTGTTGTTGCCAAACATCTTTTCATTCAATATTTGTTCAAGTTTTATATAAAAATGTTTTTAAAAAGTAATGAATTTAATTCTTATTATCATCACTTAATTTGTATTCTTTTTTATTCTTTTTGTAAAAAAAATCATATCAAATATGTTTATATCTTTTTTTTCAAGTTAGTTTTTATGATTGTATTATTGCATTTTATTTATTTCATTATCATTTTATTTTATTAATTTATTATTATTCTATTTATTTAATTATCATTTTATTTTTATTTTATTTTTTTATTGTTATTATTATTTTATTTTTTATTTTCCATTTTTTTCACGTCCCTCGGAGGTAGGGGGGGGGGTCGTCTACCTGAGGCTGGCCTCCAGTTGTACACTGTACTCTGTACTCTGTACTCGGGTTGACTGCCCTTTACCGCCCTCCCAACTCATGCGATCTTCACCATTCACCCACACACACCATCTTGCCTCAATTATTCCTGTATTTATGCATTCATTTATTTGTACTCGTGTCATGTTCTGTCCGCTATACCTGTGTGCTCGTTGTGTGCATAAAGGTACAAATTCCTTCCAAATCACATCACAGCAAGACCTATAGTCAGGTGTTCATGGTTATCTGTCTAGCAGTCTGACCCGAACCTCAAAAGTCTGGGTTGTTTTTTCAGCTAAAAGGCTCCACATGGCCTCTATACCATCTGCAGACAGACACACTTCAATTCTAGCTGGTAAACAATGGAGGATTTAGCAGCTAAAGGGCCTGATATTACCCTCAGGGGTTGATGGAGACCAAATGTTTTTTTGACGGCTGCCACCCAAAAGGCCAGAAAAAACAGTTTACTGCATGTGTAAGCTTGTGATTATGCTGAGCTCACCTTAACAATGTGTGTTCATTTGTACAGGATCTGGCCTGGCACATTGGTCCAGAGGTCTATGTACTGGTTTTTCATGCAGGTGCTTGAGGTTCAACACCCAGGGGAAGGACATGTGTGACGCCCATGCTGATCACAAACACTTTTTTAAGGTCCACTTGCTAACTTTCTGCTGCATTTTACTGACAATTAGTAGGAAAACAGAGTGGGTGGTAAGCATGCAGTGTAATCCTCACAGAGGCGACTTCTTCACCTAGAGGCTTATGTTCTGAAATTACATCCTGCTGTTCAGTAAAAAGGGATGTCAGTCAGGAGAGGAGCTCTTGAGTGTTTTGAGTGTGGGCCTCCTGCACCTCCTGCCTCAGGATATGACTCTGACTTCAGCGTTCATTCTGAGAGGGTAACTAGGGTCTGCCAGGCTCAACTCTTTGCAGCGTCTCAATTAGCTGTCTGACAGCCTCTTGTCACTCCATAACCTTTACCTGGATATGAGAAACCGGCAAATGTCTCGCTGCCTGGAGACAGCAGCTGAAGCTCAGACTTCACTCCAGTAAGCTGTTGGCCTCAGATAAAACAAGGCGTCTTGGTTTTCAACATTAAAACACATCTTAAGATCGCTTCAGAGCCTGATGATGATTTTAGTCTGCTTTCCCTTTCTTAGAGGATTCCTCCAGGGGTTTATTTTTGCCCCAAGGGGCTGGATTGGCCATGTACCCTCTCTAGAGCTCCATTGTTAGCTTGTGGATCAACTACCTCAGAATTCAGGGCCTTGCTCTTGGCTTCATGCCAGCGTTCTCTTTGCACCAATGCTGCAGAGATAGGGCAGTTCTTTTTGAGTATATCTGCTTTGTATAACTCCCTTTACTTTACCTCATTTGCGCCAGTGTACTTTACTCTACTTCAGCTTAGTTGAAACTTGGCCAGATCGTCATGCTGACACACTTAGCTGCTAATTTAGTGCGTTCCGCAGAGCCTCACAGACTGATGTGTTTCTCTCTGCTGCAGTCCTTTACAGTCACTGAAGCAAAGATCAAACGCTGATCCATACACTCTTAAACAAAGCGTATTCAGGATGTGATGCAGACCATCTCTGAATAAGCCCACTGAGGGGCCTTGGGTCCCCCCCTAAGCTCACGGTCCTCCCACTCTCTGTTCTTTGTGAATGTACCCAGTCACCCTCTTGATATCTGGGGAGCCTGGAGCCCCACATTTCAACCAGTACTCCAGTAAATGTAAAACTACCTGGCCTGAGGTTTATCCTGCTTTTTTTAATCTTGTGGTAATTGTTTTTATAAACTGTTCATATATGTTTGATCTCGTTAAGAATCATAAATGCATCCCTTTTCTTTAAGGCTCTCATCCCAAAAGACAAATTGTTCCTAACAAGAAAAAAAACTTCAAAAAGGTATCAGGAATATATATTTTCTCTAAAAAGAGTCTACATTATGAAAGTTGGACATTGTAATTTTATGAAAAGTTTTATTAGATTTAATTGTGATTTTGTCAGTGCGACTGAGGTTCATTTCTGTGCTTTTGGACAATGATGGAGGTCAATGGCAAAGGGAAATACAATACATCTTGGCTAACAAAAACAGTTCTTGAAATTAAAGGGCCCATGTCATGCTTTTCCGGTTATTACCTGTCCCCTTGTGTGTTATGAAGGTTTTTATGCATGTAAACGGTCTGCTCTCCGCAGACCCATTCTCACAGCGTTATAAACCTTTTTCTTACTCAATATCAAGCCACACTTATTGTTTTTACTTCGGCTGTGAGTCTTTGTGTGTGGTCAGGATGAGTTTGGCTTGTTCTCGCTGTATCGCCGACCCGGAAGCCTGTCCGCTCCTCGCAGCAGATCGCAGCAACGAGCCTCTCAACGTCCCGACCAATCAGAGCACACTGGGCTCACATTTAGGGGGGGGGGGGCAGGAGCTCCAACAAGCCGTTTAGGACAGAGAGTGAATACCGGTGAATACACATAGTGATACTTTACAGAGATGCTGTATGAGAAACCAATGTGAGTTTGGAAAATTGCACAGTATAAATCTATTTTAGTAGACCTCAACAATGGAATTATGATCAGTGGAAATGGCCATGACATGGGCCCTTTAAGAAAAAAACACTATCACTACTCGAATAATTTTTATATTATATTTTGACACACTCATGTGCAATATTCACTCCTGTAATTTACGCTTTATTTTTTTCAATTTGGAAACATTAACAGTTACTTCTATATTTTGATAATGGTCAGTTAAAAAAAAAGAAAAAAAAGAAAAAAAAAAAAAAGAGTACTGCTACTTAAGTTTTGTAAATTATTAATAACATGTGCATAGTTTTTTTTTTATATCGCATGTAATTATACTTTTTACTTTAATCTGCACTGTATTGCTGTTGTAATGCCGTCAATTTCCCTGTTGCAGTTAAAATAGAGGTAATCTAATTCTGATATAAAGTAGGTATTTTCAAATTTAAGTGATCATGCACATTTTTTGTAGAAATGCAATAAATAATTAAATACTTTTACTAATTCAATGTAAAAAAACACCTTCTAAAAGATGTATTTATCATTGAATACCCGTTATGTTTAATATAATAGATGTTGCACACTGGAGGGCGCTGCAAGCCACAGCTTTCCAGCAGAGAGGCAGTAAAGGGACATCGTGAGCGGTTCCGTTATGGCTGCAACAATAAATTGCATGACACCAACAATACACACATATTCCAAGAGATGGCAATGTAGGATTGTGTTGATCACACCTCGGTGACATCCAGGAGTAGAAAACGATAATTAGAGAAGATTCAATTTGACAGAGCAGCCAGTAACACTTTAGTTTTCATAGCCAGTTTTAATTCAACTGTGACTAAATAAAAAGAACGGAACACATGCTTCATCTTGCAGTTTGTATATTTATTTTAAAGCAACTTCTTTGTAAAATATAAATACAAATTATGAGATATTTTAATTACAAAGTTAAAACAAAAATGAACACACAAACAATTACTTTACTGCAGTAGCCTCCCTGTTATATACAAGCTCTGTGCCGAAGGGGTAAATATCAACATTATCTTAAAACTTTATTATACAAACAATTTTGTAGTTTCGCATGTTAAATTACAGACTAACAGGAAGCAATGTGAACATTTAAAAAAAGATACAACCAAATTGCTCCCGAGGCTCAAGCTAACGCTCAAGTCTGAGGAGAAAAAAAAGACAGGACATCATGTGCTTCCGATCAACACAAATACCACATTCAATAGCACAGTCTCAGTACTATCCTGTACAGCTACACACATGCACATGTGCTGCGTGCTCACACACTCCATCCAATCGCTGACAACACAATACACTGTTGTCATACAAAATCTTTCAGAGGAGTTGTGAGCAACATCGGAAAGAAAGAAAAATCTCTTGATATTATATATATATATATATATATTTATTTATTTATACATATATTAATTTATAAAAATAAGACCATTATTATGTCTGTAGAGTCACAAATGTGTTGATTCTCAGTTAACGGAGGGACGCGTTTCAGCAGCCAATCAGCAGCAGGTCAGTCCATCTGTACAGTGCTGGGCCGAAGCGCATGAACTAAAAGTCAGGCTAAGGCAAATCATCAAACCCTCTGGGGGGGGGGGTCTAAAGAGACTGCAGTCGTTTAGGATCAAGGTCCAGGGTGCAGTGGCTCAAGGGGTCAGGAGGAGCCCAACTTTCCATTAGCCTTGATTTTGTCCTTCAGTTTGTCCCCTGGGTGGTCCCAGCGGTCGTCCAGGCACTCCAGGGTGGAGCCGAGCAGCGCCGCCAGCTCCCCGCTGTCCTCCACCAGGTCTAACAGGTCCTTGCTGTCCGCGTGGAAGCCCTCCAGCTCCTCTGGGCAGGAGAACAGCTGCGACAGCGAGGCCTGCCGGTAAAACTCCGCCTCTGCCACCGTCACCACCTCCATGTGTGGGAAAGCCTGTCGGAAACCGCGACCAGACATCCGCAGTCTGCGAAGCACGTCCGACAGAAGCAGCCAGTTTCTGGGCCTGAAAAGAGGGAATCAAGCAATGTTTAGAAATCAAGGCCAACAGAGAGGTTTTTTTTCTTTTTAAAATGGGAGTCTGCTGTTGAGATCAAAGCTTACCCCTGAGAGAGGGACACCTGGATGTTGTAGCAAGGCAGCAGAGGGCGGTCAGAGAACTCAAACTCAAACACCTCCCTTTTATCATCCTCATCCTCGTCCTCTGGGCCCGGGGGGTCAGCCAGGATGTCATAGACACCGCCCTCTTCGCTCAACTCTGAAACACACACAAGAACCCACATGAATAATGTTTACTTAGCATCTACATAATCATAAAAAAACACTCAAAACTAGATGGCATTGAAGATGTTTAAAATGACTTGGTAAGCACTAAAACAAACAGCGTGCTGATCCGTACTCACCACACACAGCGCTGCCATAGAATTCCCAATAAAGCCCCGGGTCGTCATCTGAGCGGCCCTGAAGGTCAGCAAAATAATCTATGGAGAGAAGAAAGGAGCGGAGCCTGTTATTCAAGAGCTGGAGCCTCGGGGACAGGCAGAGAGGCAAAGACAATTGCCCTTTAAGACTACAGCAGAAAAATGGATAAAGAGCACGGTAAAGACGGAGAGGAGGAGGGATGTGTCAAGAGAGAAAAGAGAAATGAACAGAGCCAATGTTCGCGGTGGGGAGGGGGGGGGGGGGTGCTGATGGTCAGGGGCCAGCGGCTGTACCACGGGGGAGGAGAGCGACTGTCTCCGCCGGGTTAGAGCTGGCTCAGCTCAGCGCAGGGCTGCCAGGAATCAAACAAGAACCACACACAGTCGCTGAGTCCACACACACACACACACACACACACACAGGAAACAAACAAGCAGAGGGAGATGGATAAGCACACACAGCGAGAGCAAAGTGTGTATTCAGCACGCGCTCGCACACACACATTCACAGAGTGAGAGCTGGGCTTTGTGCCAGTGCTGAGGCGTGGGGCGTCTGGCGTGTGTTTGGAGGGATTAACGGCCTCCAGATGAGTGGGACCAGGTGGGGGGGGGGGGCAGCAATCGCTCGCTCTCACTAATTTTCTCCGGTGCGGCTCGATCTCCCTCTCTCCCCGCTCCGTCAATCTCGCAGTCATCGATCCGTCCAGCCATGCTCTTTTCAAAATGCAACACCATCTTTCCAAGCATCTACATATAAATCTCCCTTTTGCACTAAACCTGCGCCGACCGTGAACTAACACCTGTTCATTTTCACCCTGATCTACCGTCTTTTCTCCCGCGGCTTGTCTCTTTTAGTAAATCCCCTGCTGAGTCGGAGTCAGATAATCGGTTTTAACTAGCTGCATGTTCATGTAATATTAAGCACCTGGCTGCAGGAGGAAGCGTGTGCCTGTGTATGCTCTCATTTCCTCCTTCTGTACACAAACTCGCCGAGTCTCCACTTTCCTGCAAACATCCAGACGAGCCCTCTGACACTCACGCCCCGAACACAGACCACGTCACACTCATGCGTGGCAGCCTTGTGAAAAGACTCTCACACACACGCACACAAAGGCAGAGTCTCCAGCCAGTGCGAAGCCCATTTCCGCACGTACGCTGAGCAAACACAGTTGGCGTTGCTTAGTAACCAGATAGAGGAGCTCAGAGGCTGTATCACGCACCCCGGCGGGTTGAGACTCCCTGTCTAACAGGTGGTCGAGGGAGGGGGGAGAGGAGCAAGGGGGGAGGGCGCTGGAGGGGAAATGGGATGACAGAGACAGACATGTCTTGTAGCGACGGTTGGGAAGAGGGTTTACAGAAAGAGACTCAACAGGTTGCACAGAGGTCAGCGCTTTGAGAGAACAGCAAACAGTGGATGAGTCAAGATTGGGGCGTTTGGGAACTCTGTTGCAGACTGATCTTTTCCCAAATTAACCCTTCCTCCACCTCCATTTCCAATCTCCTGCTAACTGGAAACCCTCTTATACTTATTAATTCACTGCTTTTTTCCAGCATGAATGATTGATGTGGTCAAAGATAAATTAATATTCAAATTTCCTGGCTTTTGCATTCCACTTTGAATACAGGAGGTATGAAACTTTCAACGACTGCACTCGTTGCAAAACAGTTAACTGCGCTGCCATTATTGGATTTCAGGTAATAAAACCCGTCAAATCCAATCATATTACAAAAGCAAAAATGGGTCATGTCCTCTATTTGTAATTTACAGATTTTAGATGGAACTTCCAGACCATTAAGTATTAAAACGGCAGGCCTGTTTGCAAGCCCTTTTTTCTCAAACTCAACAAAACTAGCTTTATTGCTGCTTCTGATTACTTGGATGTTTATTATCCTAGTTCATGGATTAACATTATTCCTGATTTACAAAGACGTCAAATCCCCTAGTCCTCACTTTTTTTTTTATAGCCAGGAAATTCCATGTCTACTAACTGATCAGACAAGTCCAATCCAGGATCAAACTTTGAATGAAAATGACTGAAGGGGAGAAAAATACTTTCCACAGTAGTTCATTTTGCTTTCATGATTCACAGAGTTTTACTTTGAAGCTTTGAGGTAGGGGAGGATATGGATCACAGCTAGTAACATCAGTGTTTCTATATTCCTGACTAAACCCCGTCTATGAATATAACGTAGAGCCAGCAGGATCTTACCGCTGAGGAAGCGCTGCATGCCGTCACTGTGGGTCATCTTCAGCAGGCCGCGGCCGGAGTATGTGGCCAGGGTGGGGTCAGCGCCATAAGAAAGCAGGACTCGAACAACGTCCAGATGGTCATTCTCCACAGCGTCGTGAATCGGTCTTGACACACAAATGTACAGAGTTTAATATGGTGATGGAGTTTCAAAACAGCATTACAAATATAAACCCCTCTCAGTCATTTTGATACTGTGATAATTGATGGCTTCTTTGTCATTTTTGCAGCAATGTTTCTGGTAGAATTATTTACATGTACGTTTTCTTATTAACCATTTTGTCTGTTAAAATGCTGCTGGTCCTGCATGTCTCTAATATCGCTCAACAAGCATGAAGCAGCATTACGTTTTTGAACTCCAGAAAACTGCATGTTGCAAATCTTTTTTGCTGTTTGTCATTGCCTAAAATAAATTCAAATAATGCAAAGTTATTTTTGTGTTTTTTTAAACCCGTCTTATTCTATTCAAGCTTCACTTTCCATTTGCTTGGCTCTTTATTGAGTTATTGCTGAAATGTGCTTTATTAATAAACGTATCTGCCACTTGCATGTACACAAAGTATATGCAATTTATATATATAGGACACTTTTTTGATTTTAGAAATGGCAGCACCATTGTAACTCTAAAACCACTAACGTTGCAAATCTGGAAATGCTTTATTAAAAGCTGCTACACAATGCACCGTTAAGACTGTGCACAGTGTCCTAGAACAGACCCCCTACTGTACATTTTAATAACACAGCAACAGAATCACTATTCACTCCAATTTAAAACTGCAGCTAATCTCTCAAATCACTGCTCTTGCCAAGCAAATGTCAAATCAATCCCAGAAATGTTGCTATGAGCAAACTCAAATAACTTAATTGATGACTAAGTCTGACTCACCCTATTCGAACAAGCAGAAAGAAAACGGAAAGAAAAGTTTGTTTGTTTATGCCAGTGTGATTTTGTGTGCATATGAATGATGTTTACCTAGTGCCATCCTGTGCGCTGCAATTGATGTCCGCCCCGTAATCCAGCAGGTGTTGGACTATGCTGAGCCAGCCGCGGGCGCACGCCTCGTGCAGAGCGCAGTATCCGGCGTAGTCTCTGTGATTCACCTCACTTACTCGGTTTTCCAGGCAGTACAGCACCACCTCCTAAAGAGAGCCAACACAGAGGGAGAGGAGGGTTTAATGCGTGAGATTGGGAGTGCTTGGATTTATATGTGGCGACAACCCAAGCAACACAAGAGCCACACACGAGTCAGACGGAGCAGACGCAGACGCAAACAGTCCTTTCCTTTACAGTTCCTGTGGGAGAGAAATTAAGGAAAGGAGGAACTGAGTGCGTTCCTGTGCTGGACAAACACACACACTCACAAATGCTCCGTATTACTAGAGCTGGCGCCAAAACACATCGAGGAGACTAAGTGTGACTCAACTGTATTTAGCCTGCCAGACTCTGCTTGTGCATGTGCGAGTGTGTGTGTGCGTGTGTGTGTGCGAGTGTGTGTGTGTGAGTGTGTGAGTGTGTATGGATGTGCGTGCCATGGTTGGGACAGGACGCCGCTGTTGCAGCCAGTTAGGATGGCTGGGCTGTGAACACAGCATAATGGAAGCGGAACAAAGAGATTTGATAGAGGCGCTCAAGAGCTGGAAGCGTTTCCTCTGGTCTCGGGCTGTGACAGTTGGGCATCCAGCACTAAGTAGTCAGACTGGTTTTTATTGGACGTGAGCGGTGTCTGCTGCTACCAAACAGAGACCAGACAGAGAGATATGGAGACGTCCAGCAGTGTGCGGAAATAGGGCCTGTCAAACAAGTGTGTGTTTCAACACTGTGGGAATGTGTTTTTATCTGTGTGGAAACGCAACTTAGTGTGCAACTGGCAGCAGTATTTGCAGACCTTTGGAAAAATAAACAGAAAATGCCTAATTTGAATATATTTAATAATGTATATGTGTGAATGCAAGACTCATACATCCTGACACACTCATACTCCGTCCTGCTAACAGTTCTGTGCCAAGGGGAGGAAAGCTGCTCATCTGAACCTGGGGAACGACTCCAAACTTCCATTTCTATGCTAATTCGAGCCTGCCTTCTAGTCCAAGTATTTATCTCTCTCTCTCTTACTCCCGCTCTCTCTCTTTCAGCACAGGGCGGATGGAGGGAGGAAGAGGGATGGAAAGACAGTCGGCGAAGAGAAAACAGGCTGACAGAGGGATAAGACGAGGGCTGGAGAGAGGACAGAAGAACGGGAGAAAAAGAGAAGCAACACACCAACAGATGACAGATTAATGAATCTGTGGATGAAATCTGCCGGGGCTGTCCTCTGGGCTGCAGCTGATAATAACAAGAGATGAAAGGGTGGTAGTGCAAAGTGGGCTGGGGGGGGGTAGTGATAGGAGCGAACGGAGGAGAGTCAATGAGAAGTGGAAAGTGGGGCCGAGAGAAAAGAAGTGAGCAAGTGTGAGCAAGAAAAAGTGCGAGAGAAAAAGATAAATGGGGGGGGGGAGTGGGACATCGCTCCAACTGGTTTTCACTCGCTGCCAACACTCTGTTTGCCTGCTGGAGAGAGATTCAGGAGCGCTGTGCTGAAGCTCCCCTCTGGGGGATTCCACTCGCTCTCGGTGTGTGTGTGTGTGTGTGTGTGTGTGTGTGTGTGTGTGTGTGTGTGTGTGTGTGTGTGCCGATCTGTACGAGGGAATGAGAGCAAGTGTTGGAGAGACTGACGGGTAGAGAGTGTCGATATGCAGCTTGCCTAAGTGTGTGTATGTGTGTTCGTACGTGTATTTCTGTGCCGCTGACGAGTATGTGTGTGTGCGTGTGGCTGTGGAGGCGTAGCGCTAAACCTCCGAAGCCGTGTTTAATATCGCTGGGAGAGAGCGAGGAGCTTAACACGAGAGCCCCGGCTTCCCGCCACACACACACACACACACACACAGAAACACACAGAAACACACACACTCCTCCGCAGTAAAATGAGACACCACTCCCCCCTCCTCTTTCCCTCCGTCCTCTAATCTCCCTCTCTAGAATGCTTCCCTGCGCTCGCCTGCAATCAATGCATCACTCAGACATTTAACCCCTTATAGCGCTGCCTTGTATGCGCCTATAATACAACAGATGTGTGTGTGTGCGTGTGAGTATTTAAATGCGCATGACATGTGCAGGTAATGCATGAATGGCTCTCCATGTGTGATAAAGAGCCAAACGTCTAAGCAGTGAGTTTGATGCCTGCCTTGACAAGTGCAGCGTGTTGATGTTCGTGTGTTTGTGAATGTGTTTGTGTAAGAGCCAGCCTGCTGTTGAATGACTGCTGGGGTGACAGTGGAAGCCCCATAATATAACCATCGCATATACGGTTAATTCATCTCACACTGACAAAAAAAAGACCGGTTTTCACTTGTAATATTCAGTCAAAATAAATTAATCCAGTCTCAAACAAAATAGCTATATTTAACTGTTCTGGTTATACCATAAAGCATAAGGCGTTGCTAAATTAATTGTAAATATCCTTGCCTATGAGTCTTTGAAAGCTTGGTGATGTAGTGACTTAGGGCTAATTGCCAAACTACTGTGGTTAGCGAAACAACTGCTAGCATGCTATACACTACTGCAGCTAGCACAATGTTAACAAATTAAATAATACCAGTCAGCAAAATAGCTAGCTGGCTAATCGCTTTCTAAAAAACAATCTAATTGTTAGCTAAAAACAGTTAAAAGCTAACTAGCTTGGTTACCAACTAGATAATATGTTTAAATGGGGAATTGAAGATGATTTATTTGCCCACTGTGTCTCGACCAGACCCCTCCGGATTAAAATTGTAGAGTTACATGTATGATATTCGATGGGTTGACACAGCGAGGGATAGTTTTCTGTTTCATGAAAGGTCAATATTCTCAAGACTGTTGTCGCAAATGTGCGAGTCAAAGTTCACTACAGTTACATTTGAAAAGTCAGTGTGGATTTATTTCAGAAGCAAATCCACTAAGTGCCATGAGTCTGGTCCTAGGGGTTGCCATCATAGATGTTGGTCTGACTAAGGCTCTTAAAATGCAATCTAGTTTTCCTCTTTGCCTGGATCATACATGGATTTAAGAGGGAAAATCAGAAGTGATTCATGTGAGGAGAATAAATGACAGATTGCACCTTTATCTGAGCTTTCAATGGGCAGAGCTGAGGGGCCCCGGCACGAGGGGGAGAGGGATGAAGACATCCGCAGAATCTCTCCTCATTACCATTTCAAATGCTCAGAGAGCGAGGCAGACGAGGGAGAGAGAGAGAATAAAAGGGGAGTGAGCGAGGGGAGGAAGAAAGAGAGAGTGGGCTTTCATGTGCAGAGGCACGGATCACAAAACTAAACGAACATGAAATATGCACGGTGTCGGCTGGGCATCGAGAACAGCACAGAGTAGTGCGTGTGTGTGTGTGTTAAATTACATGCATGTGTGCATGAGGTGATTCCACATGTGCAGGTCTGTACAAGAAAAAGGACGCCTGTTCATTTGCTTACAACCGCTGTTTCTCTGTACGAGTGTGTTTGAGTGTGTGTGTAGTGAGCATGTAGGCTGTGTGTGTGCGCAATTCTGAATTTGCATGTGCAGGTCTGTGTGTGTGTGTGGGCGTCAGCAGCGAGTGTGGAGAGTTGTCGCTGTGTGCAGCATATGGAGGGGAACACGTCAGGATGCCTGTGCATGTGCTTATTGGGACATAACGCATTTCTCCGTGCGTATTTGTGTGTGTGCTCGTAATCAGCATGAGCTGTGTGTGTGTGTGTGCCTCTGTCTCTCAGGCCCTCATATCTCTCTGCCTGTGTGTGATAAGCCCAGAGCTCGCGGCGCTAAAACACCAGCGCGAGACAAGCGCTCTGTGCGTCTACAGGCTTGTATGCAAGTGTGTGTGTGGGGCGGTATGCATAAATTGGTGTGTCTCTGCGCACGTCTGAGTGTGCGTGTGGGTATGTGTGTGTGTGAGTGAGCCCCAGGGGTCTGCCCCAGGCTTATCACACACAGGCAGTGAGAGACGAGCTTCCTGAGAGAGAGAGAGAAAGAGAGAGGGAAAGAAAGGAAGGGAGGGAGGGAGGGAGGGAGCGAGGAGGCGGGGGTGTTGTTTGCGCAGCGGTCAGCGCCTTGTTTGTGTAGTCTCAGGTTTTCTCCTCCCTCCTCCCTCTCTCTCTCTCCCTCTCCACACGCGGAGCGCAGGAAGGGAAAAATACGAAGGGGTTCGGAAAAAAAAGAGGAGAGGGAGGGAAAAAAAACGTTCGAGAGACGCATAAATCAGAGAGACGAGCCAGCTTCTCTCCAGCACGGCTGACTGAACCCTGCTGCTGCGCTGCACCCTGTGCGTGTGTGTGTGTGTGTGTGCGTGTGTGTGTGTAAGCAAGGGAGAAAAACAGCCGCCGCCACTGCTAACCACAGTCACCACGGCACATTAGAGGGCCATTAGAACGCGATTATACTCCCAGTGCTTACCTCTCATTCACACTCTTGCTCTCTCACTCTGACTCACACATAATCACAGACACACACACACACACATATACACACACACCTCATCATCATAAATGTGTACAACAAACACACAAAACCATAAAGCAACCGGTTAATGAGCAACAAAAGATACCCACACCTATTTACAGTTCTGTGAAGATACCTCTGCTGGTGATAAAACTGATCACGTGCGCACACACACACACCAACACACACACACACAGAGATAGCATCAGAGGTGAGTGACTGTCGGGTGGACACATCACAATCTGCAGCTCAAGTGGCATAAAAACCATTTGGATCAATAAATCAATTTGTCAAATCTGTCAACAACGAGGGAGACACGCTCAGGCTAATACACAGGAACACAAGGGACGATGCGAGCGAGACAGCGGGCCATCCAACTTTAATTAAAAGCTTTTCCGAGCAATTGGAGTTGTGAGATTCAGGAGAATATTATACACCGGTCTCATTCATTCTTGTATGTGTGGAGAACGAGCGGATCTGGTTTCGGAGCGAACGATCGGAAGCTACACAAAGAAAGAAGAAAAAAACTCCCGATGCTGGAGAGAGGCAGCGAGCATCAGTCTCCGTATAATGATCCCACCGATCCCTCATGCTGTCTGCGCACGCACGCACGCACGCACGCACGCACGCACGCACATGCTCGTGTGTGTGTGTGTGCCTGCGTGTGTGTCACACTTCGCCTCACGGAAAATTAATGAGATGTGAGAGCGGAGCGAGGCAAGAGGAGGGGAGGGTGTGTGTGTGTGTGTGTGTGTGTGTGTGTGTGTGTGTGTGTGTGTGTGTGTCACGGGGAGGAGGAGGAAGAGGGGTGCCAACGACAATCTGAGTCACAAAGAGAGGAAGAGAAAGAGTGCCGAGAGGAAAAAGGGGGGGGGGGGGGGGGGGGGGGGAGAGCAGAAACCTGAGAGAAAGAGAGCGTAGCGGGCAAGAAGAGCAACAACAAAAAAGATGGAGTATGCAGAGAACAAAGCGTGAGTAAGGGGGAAATAGGAGGAAATGATGCAAAAAGCATGAGTTAGCTAGAGAGAGGAAGAATAGGACAGATGCAAGAGAGGAAAAAACTATTTTGAAAAGAAGAGCCAAGTTATGTCTGCCAGAGTCACAGACGGGAACAAAGTAGAGGGAGAAAATGAGCTCAATTTAAGAAGAGAGAGAGGGGGGGGGGGGGGGAAGATTTGCAAGTGACGATGAAGTGTAAGAGTGTAAAATGTGAAGAGCGAAAGAGATGAGGGAGGATGACTATGAGGAAAGCCTATTACCTCGTAGCCGAGCCGCGCAGCTCTCTGGAGCAGAGTCTCTCCGGCGTTCTTGTTCACGATTAGCCGCCGAGCCTCTGGCGGGATGGGACGCACCGCGGGGGGCTCAGCAGGGGGGGTCCGGTGCACTCCCACCAGCTCGGGGGCAGCGCCGCACGCTCTGCCGTTCACCTGGGGCTGCAGGCAGGGCGGACAGAGCGTGGCGGGGGAGCAGGGCTTGACTGGAGAGCAGGGATAATGATTAGGAGAGGCAGCTCCCTTCCTCGGAGCGCCGCGCTGATCACTCAGCTGGGGAGAGAGAGAGAGAGGGAGAGAGAGAGGGGCAGAGAGAGTTAGAGCCACATAGCAGACTGCACACACTCACACATGGACGCTCAAGAGCACATGTTTGAAGTTACACACACATTCACACAGTCGAGATGCGTGTATATTAATTCAAACTCACATAAGTGTATTGATTTTTATAATGAAGCAAATAAAACGTTTTTTATTAAAGTATGACTTGGGTTTACATCCAGAAATAATTATATTTTGTTAAATTAAGCTCAATTTATATTCTCAGCAAAAAGCCAATTCCTCTCTAGTCTTAACATGCTTTCTTTTTATTTTTTAAATTATAAATACTACCAACATATAGCTTAAAATAAAGACACATTTTTCTATTTGGATGATTACTGTATTGAAGACGGTACGCATCATTGAATAACCCACACACATACGGCTTTCACACCAACTGTTCACACCCCAAACGCAGCACTTTTCTTTAACCGCTAAACCAACAGAGCCCTCGCAGCGCAACACAGGAGAGAAGGAGCTGCCTGCCTGTGTGTATGCGAGAGTGTGTGTGTGTGTGTGAGTGAAGTGCGTGCCCTCTCAGTGGAATTCCATGTCGAAGCAGCTGTCAGGCTGAGGAGGAGCAGGGGCGGAGAGCAGCGCGGGCGGAAAACAACTAGCCTTCTTTTTTTTTTTCCCTCTTTTGAACTCCGGCACTTCATACGCTCGACCATGGCTGCCACATTCCTCAGTGTGTGTGTGTGTGTGTGTGTGTATGTATGAGAGGGAGAGTGTGTGTGTGTGTGTGTATAGGCAGCCTTGTGCTCGGCGCTGAGTGCGATGTCTAATTGCTCAGGGGTTTTGTTGTTATGTCAGGAATGCTCTCCAACACACAGACACTCACAGCCTTGGCACGCACTCGCACACAGAACAGCGTCGATGACACACGTTCCACAATTAAGGCCAGAGACAAACATGCATTCATGCAGGCGCTCTGCAGGGAGTCGATAAGGGCACAAGGAGGTCAAAGCTCCAGCAGCCCTCTAAACATTGTAAACATACTTCCTTCCTCTCTCTCTCTCCCTCCCTGCCTCTCTCCCAGCTGCATAATCAGAGGCGCCGACAGGCATACTGAAACAGACTCCGCTGCTGCTGCTAACATCCAGACGGCCGTATCGTGGCCAGACACCCTATCAGCGCTCACCTTGTCATCCTCAGCTGCTCCCAGATCAGCCGCGCAGCGCTGGCCTGGGCTGTTAGGTGTGGCCTCTTTCCGTTTCTCCCGCTCCCGCTCCCTCTGACTGGTGTGTTTGGTTTTGCACGGCCGCTTGCCCTTGGGTTTGTCCGTGTCACTATGGCGACGGGGCTTGATGGGAGGGGGGCCTCCCACGGACGGATCTGGGGCCGGAGAGGGGGGGCCCCTCCTCGGCTCCTTGAGGCCACGGTCACCTGAGAAGGGGCCCTGCGGGTGAGCCCTGTCCTTCAGTTGGCTGGGGGGAAGGGGAGAAGCAGCTACTCCTGGAGGAGAGGGGGGGGGAGAGAGAGAGAGAGAGAGAGAGTGAGCGGCTGATAGTGCGAGATCTCAGTGAAAGGGGGAGGATGGGAAGGTATTGCAAGGCCATCTCTCACCCTCTGTTGGTTTATTAATGAGCGCACAGAGCTGTCTGGGAGCGCAGCATGCCTGCTCGCTCAGGAAGGAAAATAATTTAAAAAATAACACACACTCACACACAAACACCCTCATAGTAACTTGTGCACACTCATTCACTGCAGCAAGGACACTGCTATGAGTAATCTCCTTAAACAAATGTGGCACTGTCTGGTTTCAGCCTCTTATATTACATGTTTACACGGGGAGAAAAACCTGCCCTTGAAACCACAATGTCAAAATGCTGCTAAATAGCCAAATGGAAATACATTTCCTCCTAACGATTATTCCAAAGCATTTCAAACTACTCAAGGAATGTGTTCTAGGTCTGATTTGTGTTGCAACCAAACCTTGAGAATAAACAGTCCATTATATCAGTCCTAGTTTGAGAAACAATGAAGTTAAATTATATATTTGGCTATTGCCTAAACACACAGCCACTGTCGATGTAACCACTGATGCTAAATTGGCCATATATTTCAAATACGAGATCCTTAACAGCGATTAACATGTCTTATCCGATTAGTGAGTTCCTGAAAAAAAAAAATGTAAGAAAAGACAGACCACAGCCCTGACCGACACAAAGTCGACTAACCGCATTCATTGTAAAACATGGCTGTTGCCAGGGTGATATTATCTAGAAAAAGGTGAATTTCACTGTGTGGTTTTGGCAGGAAACATAAAACCAAAATATCCCCTGCTTTATTCACTTCCTTTAATCTCTCTCCTGCTCTTTTATTCTCTCTCTTCGTCTGTGCCTCCCTGTCAGTTTGGGCGCTCGAAAAAGGGAAAGTCCCCGCCCCTCCCCCCCCACCCCACCCCACACACACCCCACACACACCCTCCCTTTCCCTGTGACTTGTCATGAGGGGGGAAAAGAAAGAGAAAAACCATTGATCACACATTAGTCACACCACACCTGCCCACGCATATCTCTACCAGCCACTTCCCTCATTCTCACTTTCATGGTTCTCTCAGAGCCCGCTGACGACCAGCTGAATAAAAAGCCCCAAACCACAGGGGGTTGGGTATTTTTCTCTTTTTTTAGTCCCCAGGACCAGTTTTTCTGATTCCTCAGCTTTTTTTCTGGCAGGAGGAAGTATTCTCTACCTCATTTCCTTTGCCCCCTCCCAGAAGGCTCACGGGAAATCCCCCCCCAAAGTCAGCCCGCTCAACAAGAAAGTGAAATGTGAGCCAAAGATAGATTTCCGTTACCCTAGCTGAACTCGGAGATACAGCAGCGGTTTGCACGGCTGGCGGTTCATTCTTACCATTAAGTAGCTTCTCGCAGCCCCACTTCCTGTTGATCTCGGCTCTGTGCGCCGCGGCTCGGTCCTCCGGCTCCCCGGGCCGAGCTTTGCGTTCCCGTATGCTCTGGGCCGGGGCGATCAATCGTTGCTGGGGCCACAGCCGCTCCTGTTTGATCAGGCAGCCGTCGGGGGAAGCTGCGCCGGCGGCTGGCTTGCTGAGTCGCAGCCCCTTCAGCTCGATGCAGACCTTGAGCTTCCGGACCTCGTCGTCATCATCTTCATCAGGACTGGCCTGCTCGCGCTCATCTGAAGATAAACAAAACACAGAATTTGCTTTCTTCTCTCATATGGAACTATATTGCCTAAAGGTGTCACTGTAAAATGTTGGTATTTTTCAAGTCTTATTATCTAGTTAAAGATTAGATAGAAGACTATTCTCATCCCTCACAACGGTTTTCACTGTTTCGGAAGACGCTACTCTCACCTTGTGCACACAAAACTATTCAATGTACACACCTACTGACCTGCAGACAACCGTGCACACAGAATAGAGACCATTAATCACTAGTTTCTTATGGCTTGTAAAAACCCACATTAGCCTTACATTAAACACAAATGCAGGAAGGCATGGAGAACAGACAGATTGCGGAGAAAAATGGAGGAAGAGAAGGCAAGAATCGGGCGGAGAAACAAAGCAATAAAGACTGAAGAAGCAGAGGGAGGGTTCTCCCCCTTGAAATTCACAGGGGAAGGGTATTTGACTTGTCTGCCAGTGCCGGGGAGAGCAAGCGCAATACGGCATGCCAGGAAGGAAAAAAAGGAAAAGGAAACCCAAACAGATGAGGAGAAAAAAGAAAAGGAGATGAGATGAGATGAGAAGAAAAGAGCAGCTTTGAAGAGGGTGGGTAAGCGCAGCGGAGGAACGGGAGAGCTGAAAGAAGAGAGAGAGAATGGCTGTCCCTCTTCCTCGCTTCTCCCTCGCACTCCGCTCAAAGGCAGGATTAAACACTTTTCTGAGCTGGCTGCCACACAGAGCGAAAGATGGGACAGAGAGGGGTACCGGGGGGAGGAGAGCGGGGGTTGGGAGGGAGCGGGTTTAAGGTGGAATTGATTGGGAAGAAGCAAAAGAAAGAAAGATTTCCTTCAAAAGAACAAGGGATGAGACCCAGCTCAGCAGAACACGGGATGAAGGGGAAAGAACGAGCGGAATTCGAAAGACACGCGGAAAGCAGATGGAAAGAAAGGAGGGAGATGAACATGTGTTTGACGTTGCATGTTGAAGAAAGTCTCACCTGTAGAAATCCTGGCTCTTTTCTCGGGGTGGAAGACCCTTTCTGCTTCCTCCCACTCCGAGTCCTCCCGTTCGGGCCTTGAGGCAGAGCTGGCGTTTCCTGCTGGCTCCGAAGCCGGGGCTATGCTTCTCCTCAGGGAACCCTTTTGCCGGTGTCAGAATGGGGGGCAAACAGTGACCTCCTTCGAGCTCCCTCTTCAACTTCCTGACTCCATCGTTTAGCCCTTCTTGCCCGGCACCCTCTCGGGCCCTATGCCCTGGGGACAAAGGCTCGATCTGGCCCCCACACCTCTGGAGGACTGGAACTCTGTTGTTAGCGTACGCCGGCGACAGGACACCTGAGCAGAGCGAAAGGGACAGACGGATGGAAATATGGGGCAGGGAGGAAGTAGGGGGGAGGGGGGTGTGGGGTGTGGGCAGAGGCAGACATAAGCAAGAGAAGATGAAAGGGGGACATGGGGAGGGAATGCAGACAGACAGACCACAAAGCAGACAGACAGAAAGAGAGCAGGGGGGAGACAGGGTGGGGGGGGGGGGTTGACAGAGGGAGAGTGCCAGTTAAACACCATCCAGCTTTTATTCCACTTCTAAAAGACAGGCAGTAAAACTTTGATGGGGTAAAGACTTTTTAATCTGATGTGAGCCGAGCCAATGGGCTGACTGGAGCGGCAGGAAAACATCCTGTGCACTCGCTGCACACGACGACTCCTATCCCCCCCCCCCCCCCCCTCTTTCTCTGTCCTCCCCCACGGCATGACCGCACCACACCCTTCGCACACTGAGCGTGACTCTTCCCCCCGTCTCCTCGACTCCCTCTCCCTCTCTGTCTCTCTCCATGCCATAATTAGGCTCGCACGTCAGCCGCGGCCTCGCTCCAACACACAGCTGGGCTCCCGGCCAACCTAACTAACCCCCCCCCCACCCTCCTCCCTCTCTCTTTCCGTTGCGCTCTCCCATCCGCTTTCACCCGCTAGCTTCCCCCCCCCCCCCCCCTCTGCTTTCACTCTCTCTCTCACTCACGCAATCTCTGCCCCTCCTTCTCCCCTTGCCCTCCCTCTCGATCGTCTCTCCGCGCAGATAAGCACAAAAGACTTCTTGAAAATAAAACTCCCCCCTCAGTGTCTCTCTCGCTGGCTCCTTCGCTTGCGCTGCTGCTAGCTTGAGTGCACAAATGTGTGTGTGTGTGTGAGAGTGATTTGAGTCTGTGTGTGTGTGTGTGGAAGAGCGTGTCTTTTTTTAGAGTGACCCGGTCTTGCCTCAGCATTTGCTGCAAGTGCACGCGAGTGTGTACGCGCACCTATTGTTTGTGTGTTCCTCTCCGAGTGTTCATTTGCAGAGTGGATGCATGCGTGCGTGTGTGTGTGTGTGTGTGTGTGCATTACGAGTGTGTTTGTGTGTGGTGCTGGGTTACTCACCCTCCCTCTCTTCCCTCCTGGTGGTGTGTTGGCAGTGTTCCAGCACTCGCTCTCTGCGCTGGCCGTCTGCCAGCTCCCGTCCTGCTGCCGAGGCAGACACACACACACCGCCGCCCTCCTTCTCCTTCAGCTCCAGCTCCGAGAACCGCATCATTGCCCGCTGTGCGCACACACACACACAAATGCAGAGAAAACCCATGAAAACCACTCATCTTCTGCCCACGCCGCACACAGACCTCTCTAAGCCTCAATCTGGCCTCAACAGCTACAGAAGCAAATATTGCGTCAGAAATCACATTGTCTTAAATTCAAAGAAAATGCCAAAGAAATTAAACCCACACACACACACACACACACATACACGAACGCACACAGGACACAAAAAAAAAGGTAGACAGATAAATCACAAGCATGGCATCAAGACACAGATTAGACTACTGCAGCCACTGTGAGTCCATGCACTCTGGGCATTAAATCCTGGCATCTCCCTTCCTGAAACATAAACATGGCTAGGAAACATATACATCTAAGCCCTGAGGCAGAGAGAGGAGATGAAAAAGAGGAAAGAAGAGAGTGGGGAAAAAAGAGGTGTGCAGCGATACAGAGTACAAAAGGAGACAGAGCCCATCAGAGGCAGATGTGATAAGAAATGTAAAGAACTGACCTCCCAGTTAGCTGCAGGTTGACTTATATTACTCCCCTCTCGTGATAAGACTTCCATCTAAGCAATTAGAATGGGGGGGCTCAATATATCTGTCCATCATTTCATCTTGTTTTATGAATTTATGTCATGTTTCTCCACAAGTTTCTTTACACACAATAGGCAGCCACAATCCCACAAAATAACACAATCAAATCAAAGTGACTCAACAGGTCAATTAACACTGCATCAAAAGTATCAAATCATTTCTGAACTGCATGAATGACACATTTGCAAAAAAGAGAATCAAAACAATATGATCATTTTTTTAAGCATGATTGATACTGGTAATTCAGTTTTAGCTGTCTCATTGAGTTGTTTTTCAAACAAGACTCCCACATCTCATTTCTTCTTTTTTTTTTTACATGTCCAGAAATAGAGCGTTTGATATTTTTGTGTTGCAGCTGTGCATTGACAAGCATGACACAGACAAAACCACAGTTTTCTAGGGCGCATTCACAACATAGACAGACATGTGCAACCTATTAAGATATCCGCCTCTGAGGCCAGTGGATAATATAGCATAGGGTTTGTTTGTGTTTCTATGCTGAACATTGAGCACATAAGAAACCAGAGATAACCGTCTAAAATATATAGCTGTCTGAAGAGCAGGGGATGAAGGCATGGGACTTTGCTGTAATTGTGCGTTTATAGTCATTTGATGCGTGTTAGGAGAGGGGGTCTTTTAGCCAATCAGGTGAGGAGAATTATGACCTTGGACAGCAACCAGGCAGGGCAACATGGGCCATCAGGGGAAGGGTTAAGGGAGGGGGGAGATCGACTAGCGGGTGGGGGCATGCAGAAAGCCTAAGAGGAACCCCAGACAGGGCAGCTGCTGGATTTGACGCCTACTGCAAGCCCTCCACTGCCCCTAACCTAAGGGTTAAGCATAGCCAAAGGCGGTGTGAACTGTGAGGCTGCCACAGTCATGCTCTGAAACTACAGTATATAGCTCTTATAGCACAGTCAGCACTAACACATGCTTTAGCCCCAAGGCAGTCACACAAGGACAAGCACGTACGTACGGACACACAAAACACGCACGCACAGAAATAACCTTTACAATGAATGCTCGCTAATCAACATACAGAGAAGGCAGCCCTGGTTAACCTTTGAACTGCCCTCCCTGATGGAGGACCTCCACTGGCCTTGCACCAGCTCACTAAGACAATGATAAACTATAAGGGGAGAGTCCAGCCTATGGCCAGGACAGTAGCACGACAGCATTTATATGATTCTGTCCTGTGTTGTAAATGCAGAGTATGCCAATTTCATGCAGGGGTTGTTCTACAGGCAGTTCTAAATATTGCAGCAAGGGAATTCAAAATGGCCCTTTTGGGTTTATTCCTTGGTGGATGTTCGAATTAAAAGCATGTTTGAATGTCTGCATATAAGAAACAATTGGTCATAACGACCTCTTTTCAGCCCACCAACAACTTGAGCCAAATATATCCTGTACTTTATATACGACACACACATACACACACAGAAGAGTTAACGGCCTTACCTGCAGGGCTCTCTGTTCGCGGCTCAGCTTGCTGGAGTCAGCATACAGCTCAGTGGTGACACATTTAATGCGGTCGCCAACGAAGCCTGTGGAGTTAGCGATCCTCTTGGCCAGACTTGATCTACGAGAGCCTCTAGGTGAAGACAGACCATCCTCTTCATCGTCCTCATCCCCTTCTCCGTGAGACTCCCCGAGGTCAACAATACTGTCTTCCTTTTCAGTCTCCCCTTCATACACTCTCTCTTCCTTCACCACATCTATGAAGTGTTGAGACGAGTGACGAGCCCGGATGTCTCTGTCCCCTTTGTGTTTACCAGAGCTGCGCTCCCCAGATGTGCGGGCACAGCGCAAGGTGCTCTGGTCTTGGTCTTCAACATCTGGGCTTGGGCTCCGTTCCTCTGAGCTCTCCTCTCCTCGGGTGAACTGCCCTGGAGAATTTGGCAACATGCTAGATATTCCCCCAGGACAGCCCGTCTCCTGGAAAACGTTTGGTTTCCCAAAGGGCGTTTCTGGGTGTCTATCGGAGTGATTGGGCTTCAGGGTTGGGCTTTGTCCCGAGTGGATTGGATAAGGATGGGAAAGGTGGGGTTGGTGTTTTAGCTCATAGTCAGTCTTTGTCAGATTTTGGTTACTATGACAACATTCATTTTGGTTAACCTTGCTGCTGGTCTCAGCGGAGGGCTGTTTGTGGACTGTTGGGGTAGACTCAATATCTGTGTCTGAATGTACAAGGTCGATGCAGACAATCTTTTCTCTGAATGTTGAAGAGGATGTTTTGCTATGATTGCGACTCGGTCCTTCCTTATCAGACTTTATTTGGCTTCCTTCACTCATCTCTTTCCCAATGTTGTGATCTCTGTGGACCCTGCCTTCTTCGACAGCTCCCCGGGATTTTTCCTGTCCCCGGTGCTTCAAAGTTGCCTCTCCTCTTTCTGCCAGCTTTTCTGAGGGAGTGTGCATCAGGGGATGGGCCATCTCCTGTGTGTTATACGTGAGGTATTCCCCTCCTGGACCAGCTGGGAGGTTGTGGTAGGGTAAAGGGTGTTTTGCTAAGTGGGGTGGGTAAAGGCTGTTGCTGCCCAGCAATACTGGGTGAGGGTAGACTGGTCCTTTCCCTGGAATCGGCAGGGAGTGTAGTGCCATGCCATCAGGGATGGGGTAGTGCAGGTATCGGTTGGCATAAGCCAAACTGTGGTTCAGGTAAGCGTCACTTTGAGGAAGGTAAAGGTGGCCAGGAGGGTGACCATTCTCTAAACAGGGCCTCTTGTAGGAAGACAGCTCTGGAGTCGTTCCTTCTCTCTTCTGTGAGGGCTTTTCAATCCCCTCTCTGTGGTGGCCCGGATGTTCTGAATGGCTAGGGCTGTGATTGACCCACTCACCATTGGGTTTGGGAGATATAGCCCTGGAGCTGACATGAGAGGAGTGTTGAGTGGAGGGAACATTATGGTTTGGCTCTCCTATCCTTGGACAGGATGAGCTACGTTGCTGAGGGAGTACCCTCTCCAGACCCTTTTGTTTGATGACAGAGGGTGAGGAGCCTTTGGCTTGTGAAAGGCCCAGGTCTCCGTTAGGCCTTGGAGAGGGGGGCAGGCCGGGTGTGTGCTGAGTACGGGAAGGGGAAGGGCTAGGTACAACCCAGGAGGAGTGTAAAGTGCTGATCATTTCTGGCCTCTCAGGGACCTTTGAAGAAGTGCTGCTGACCACAGAGTGGGGGTGGGAGGAAGGAGAGAGAGACAGGTTTTCTTTTAGAAGCTCCCGATTAGGAGGCAATCCATATCGTGCGCTTGATGGTATAGCGTCCATTTTAACTGGGAAACCATTGGGAGCCAACCCAAACTCAAGCATTCTTCCAGACAAATCCAAGGGCTTCTCTGGCAAGTCTTTGGTTGCTTTGTGTTGGTGAGCTGGCTTCTCACAATTGGCTTTTGAAGGGGACCTGCTATGTCTCCTCTCAACCCCTGCACTTCTTTGTTCCCCGTCTCTTGGCCTAGATTTGTGGGGGCTAGGTCGGGCAGGAGAAGGCTGCTCTGCTGCCATGCTGCTTACAGAGAATGGGTGAGGAATGGACTGTGTGGATGAGGATGATACTGATGCAGCTGATGAGGTGGCTGGGTGTCCTATCCTAGAGACTGCTCTTTGTAAATCCAGTGAATTGTCAATGAGTGTGGGAGGAGGGGGGGGTTGGGGTTGGCGGGAAGACGCATGAGGAGAAGAATCAGTAGGCAGACTATTATTATTCCCACCATTGGAGCCACTAGTGCTACTGGTATTATTGTTGTTGCTAGTAGTCTTCCTAGAGGGAGGTCTACTTGGTCTGCTGCTCCTGCTTGGGGAGCGGTCTCTGTCCATAGCAGCCTGATGGTGCTGAGAATGAGGGGAAGGTTGGTGAAGCTGCTGTGCAAACTGAGGCGCAACACCGAGCCCCTTGTCCTGGCAGTGTACCAGTGAAGTGGGGGCCACTGTGACTGTAGGAATCCTCATAGGAGGCGCCACCATGGGAGAAGAGATGGGGGACTGAGGATAGTGAGGCATATAGTAGAGCCTCTCAGCGGCAGAGGGGTTTACATTACCAGACGCGTAGGCCAGGTGCTGGGGAAGATAGGGGTTGGGTTGGCTCATCAAGGAGGCTTTGTACATATTTAGAGCCGCGTACTTGGATGTGTCCATGAAGGGATACATGCTCGCTTCAGGGTAGGGGTTGAACCACGGCAGGCGGAGGTAGCCGCCACCAGCACCTGCCAAGCCCAGCTCAGAGACCTTTTCTCCATGCCCTAATCTGCGGTCCAAGCCTAAACCTTCAGTTCCGGGAATCATCATAGGCTTGTGGAGTCCTGGAGGAGTGCCTTTGTAAAGACCCAGGTATCCATTACTGGGCTTACGACTGTCCAGAGGGCCATCAGAATTGTAGATGAGCTCTTGGAGACCATCTCTGTTATAAGTGAGGGGGTGTGAGGGCCCCTCACGGCTCTTCTCCGCCGGTAGTGCTCTGATGCCTGGGTACACAACCCCTCCATGGAGACGAAGACCATCGTGCATCAGGGTGCCTCGGTCCAGCCCCATTGCTGCCAGGGGCGTTAACCTTGCATCCACCTGCAGCAAAAAGGGACGCCAGAGAAATTAATTTGACCATCATCAGAGAAATCAGATCAGTAGTGTGCATGCACATAGTGAAACACACCCAATTTCCATGTAATGATGACTAATGTGACAAATGAGTGTAAACGGTACTAAGACGAGCACGGGGACTTGCCATGTTTTGTGTGATGTGGTTCTCTTGTCTTAGTTCCAGGTTGGTTTGTGTCTCAGCAATGACATCACGGACAGATGTTGCCCTGTGGAGATGAACAAACAGTAAGCAGTCAGTGTCTTGGCTCTGCCACACAAACATAGATACAGACAAGCTCTGTTGTAATCCCGCTACATAAAAAAAATATCATAAGAAAAGTTATTAAGAAATCGAGCTTTGCACACTTCCGGGTCAACAAAGACAATGTATAAAGATAGGAAAGATAGGAAAGATAACAGCATTGGAAGCTAATGTCAGCCTTCCTTTCACTCTCAGGCACACAGCTACACTAAGGTAGTCAGTAGAGATGAAAGCACTGTGTGGGCTCGCCTCCCCTCCCATCCGTCAACACCCCTCAGCCACCCCCCAACCCTCCTCTCCCCCTCCCGTGACCCCCATCCTGCCCACCCTGTGGGCTAGACGAGCATTGTGGGGCTGCATCTATTCAGTCACGTTCCCCGCACACTGGTTTTTCTGTGCCCTCTTTGACCTGCTCTCTCGGCTGCCTTAGCCAGTGGAGCGAGGGAAGATTATACATCAGAGACCACTTCGGTGGGAGACCATTTACCGCCCGCCAACACAGAGCCACAGATCAACAAACACTCGCACCAACCAAATTCAGGCAAAAGTATAATATGCAGGAGAGAAATAGACGATCATGTAAATTATACAACAAACCATATATTTGATGTGAGAATGAATAAAATAAAACATGTACAAAGAAAAAGAGCATACCGACAACTGAAGTGAAAATGGTGTTTCTTTTTTCCCCTTTTTATAGACACAAGAGAAATGACTATAAGCAAAAATATTAAGATCCTTTTTGTGTGAAATGTCCTTTAATCTGAAAATGTTTTGTTTACATCTAAATTCCGTGGAAAGCACTGGAGCATAACTGAGATGTTATTTTATGTTAAGGAGATATTGAATAACTCGCAAGAAAATTGTAATCATTTTAAAGTTTTAAGAGATGCCAAATGTAATAATTGGTCTTTAAGATTAGATATGTGTTTTTATCTGCCGTGTACTGATTGGGAATGGATTTAAAAAATGTATTAAAGATATGCCAGGTCTAAAGTCAACTCAGAATGGTGGCCCCTCAAAGTACAAAAAACTCCACCTATTTGATATTTTTTAAACATTGCTGTACAATTAACAAACGAGCGATAAAACCAAACTCTTAGGAGTCATCCGACATTTCATATCTAACCTGGTCTGCCAATCTTCAAACAAGTCAAAAATACAACAAGGTAGAAAGATTATTCCAACTTGGCAGTTTTATTTATAAAGGAAATATTTAAGTTTGAATATTAGAGTTGACTAGTTAGGTTAGATATTTTTGCAAGGCAGTGAGGTAATGAGGTGGGAGAGAAGTGCCTTAAATAGTCAAAGTAAAGCCTCGCCGTGTTCGGCAGAGCAGAGAGCAGCAGAGAAACTCGGCTGCTCGATCACACAGAAACGCCTCTGAGCCTGGCTGCCGCGCCGCTGGCACGCCACTTTTATTGCCATGACCTGGGGCCCATTAATCAGCCTGTTGCGGGCCCCTCGGCACGGCTCCTCCCTGCCCCAGCGCTACCATCCCCCAACAGCTCTCCTTACCCCGGCTCCCCGAGGCCAGTCCTGCTTCAACAACATCCGCAGCTGACAGAACTGAAACGGTGTGCGTGCGTGGGTAAATGTGCTACAGTGGAGCTGCAAATGTGTTACAGCCACGTGCAGACTTTGTGTTTCTGCAAATTGCAGACACCGTTGAGAAATCACATCAGTCCCGTTTCCTTTATTTCCTGGAGCGACACATGCACCTCTCGGTCTGCCTTACACGTCCACACACACACGGCTCCTCTTGCACTGCTCCACAAGAACAACATGATAGCCTAATGAAAGAAATAAGCCTCTTACTCAAATGACATGCTGCCTTCATGGAGATTTCCATTTAACCTAGATGAAACTTCCACTGCAAATATAATGGACATATCAGTCCCGAGCATAAACACCTTTATCTGTATATCTTTTTCCAGAAGCAAATAAAGCTGAGAGACAACAGAGAGAGGAAATGATCTGTTCTTGTTCAGGTCATTACTGCAAAAATACAGTCTGGTGTCTTAAGGCCTGTTATTTCCCCACAACGTGCACACACTGTGCTGATGACCGACTAGTTTGCACAGACACGGCACCTGTCATTTCCATGAAATTAATAGTAGCCTAGCCCAGAAAAGATAAGAGGCTGCGCCGGGCCTCAAGGTCAGGATCAAGCACTTGACGACACACTGCATGCACCGCCGGGAATACAGCTCAGCCTTAGTATGCAAGGACCCCTGTAGGCTCTGCACTGCACATTCAAAATGTAAAAAAAATGTGCCTGAAAAAAATTCCCTATAACAGCAGCATGATAGTGCTTTTGTTAAATACTGTGTCTAGCCTACTTTGGAGAAGAATAGGTGCACTATAATTGTGTAACAGTAGGCAGGGAAAGGCACCTGAATTCCCAAGATGGCCCTTTTTCTTTAATAGTTAGAAAAACATTAATTGAAAATGATGGGTATAATGTTGATGTGTAGATTGGATTGAATGTTATATGGACCTAATGTACTCGGTCAATTTCATTTTGTGATGCAAATATCAAAATGTGTTTTCAATGCCTGTGATTTTCTTTCATGATTTTGCATGCATTTGTAATTTAGGTCTACATTTAGGCTTAATTACACTTATGTTGCAAAAATTGCCTACGATTGTACATCTCTTGATCGCGAAATGATATTAAAGTATGATAACCGCTTAAGAAATGTAGGCTACTTTAGACTAGACAAAGCTGATCAATAAGCCTGCAAACAAACTACTACAGGAAACTAGACCAAATATTAAACATTTCGACAGATTGTGTTGGTCCCAATTATTAAAAATCACAGATGACAGGGACTGTGAGAGATGAGGTTAAATACACACACTATGCCTCCCTCCTCTCTGGGGGAGGGCTAGCTGCAGCACCATCACCATGTATAATTTGCAGGTTCAGATGTGTGTCGTGTGAATGGTGCTTCAACTGAGTCTCGTGAAACTTAACCAAATGCATCGTTTTTTTTACACATTGCATTGAATATAGTGTAATTGGTCAAGTCATATTCTTACCTGAAAATGATTTTTGGGAGGTGAAGATGCAACCTTCACAACTAACCATGAAGACTTAAAAAAAGGCCATAAACCTATATTTCACATCTCACGTTTATAGTTTCAGTGGGCTATAGTAACATCAAATGAGCTTGTTGCTTGTGTTTTCTTATCTGACATTAGTGGCCCATAAACCGGATGCTTTAAATATTCTCGGGGATAAACACTTCCAAAATGTCACGTTAGGAAGGACGGGGGAAAAGAGAGGGAGGGAGAGAGAGAGAGAGATAGGAAAGGAGGATAAGGCAGTGCGTGTTGACGCTCATCCCCGCTGCTAAGAATAGTTTGCGCAACAAACAACTCCCGACGGCCGTCCAATCCATCACACTGGTCGGCGGCAGCAGCAGCAGCAGGCAGGGGAAGGGGGGGGAAGTGGTCGGGGCTGCATTTATAAACCAGACCGCTGGAGCGGAGCCCCGACTCGCGCCATTAAACAGAAAACCACCGGGTGTTTTTAGCGGAACCTCATATAGCTCTGCATTTTAGGGAGGAAGAGCAAACAAGGGCAGAGGGACTGACTGATAAAGGGAGAAAACTAACTCGCGTATCCCTCTTTTCCCTCGTTTCCCGTTCCTAACGACAATTACTTGAACTCTCCGTGACCCTCGGTACACGCACCGGCACCGCTCAGCATTTCCTCCGGGGCAGGGGCCTCTATTGCCCGGGAAGCACTGGTTGCGTGCGCACCGGTAATACGCGTGTGTGTGCATGAGAGAGAGGGAGGGAGGGAGGGAGGGAGGGAGGGAGGGTTGGTGGAGTTGGGAAGGTGGTTGTTTATAACAGCTTCCACTCGCTTTACAAGTTGACAAATGGCCAAGTAGAAATGCAGATCTACATTAAAAGAACCGCAGGGCCATCAATCATGCATAAATAAATACCTGCAGGGTTTATGATCAGGTTTGCGAAAGTCTGTTCGGTAACGGGAAACCGGGAATGTGGGTCTCGCTAACGTGAGTGAAGGCTCCCTCTCGCTCTTTGTCCCTGGAGCTTTGCCAGACTCTCTGAAGCGCAGAGCTCCGTACAGCTCTGAAAAAATGCAGTGTGACGCAGGATAATCTCCGCAGCGACGGGGGTGGGGTGGGCATAAACAGGGATTAAAAGAGGCGTGCACACACCGTACACACGACCGCGAAGTTGTTTGTGTGTGTGTGCCCAAAACGAAAGGAATTCTGCTCACACTGCCGGTGAACGAAATAGAAATCAGCGGGGAAAAAATATGAGAAAAACAGAGTGTGGGTCAAAACTACAGCCTGACTACCAAGCACACAGCCTCAGGGCCTCGCACACCCAGCATCATAAAGACAGACAGCGCGTGGAAGAGCATGCGTGCCCAATTTTAATTGTTATTGATTATCAGGCTGACGTGTGCCAAATGGTCCAATTGATTATCTCAATTTAGACTAGGAGTCCATATGTGGAACCTACTGCTTCTCAGTGTAGTTTCTGATAAAAGTATGGCATATATTCATTGTACTACGTTTTTTTAGTTTATTTTGTATATTTATATTTGGGGTAAATACTTGTCTTTATTCTTTTTAATGTTTAATTATTTTATGTTTCCAATCGTTTTTGTTTGACCTTCTACTTAGGCTATTTCCTTATGTTGTTTATGTTTATGTTGGCACCACCATACACCAAAGCAAATTATATGTGTAAAAGTTCCTGACAATAAGCTCGATTGTGATACAACAGAAGTGTACAGACTGAAGGGCTCAGAGGAGATAAACGCTATGGAGAGACAGAGCTGCTGGGGGAGCGCAGAGGGAGCAGCAGCGTCTCCTCAGCTGTCACATTATTAGCGGCCGAGCTGTAAACAAGGGGCCCCTCCGTCCTGCGGGCCGCTGCACAGCCGCATGCAAGTCGGTGCACGGTTCAATCCCC